CACAAATTATAAAAGTACATTTTTTACGATACATACCCAAATACATTTTTGAACAAAAAGCTCAAAATTTCCGAAAGTTTTTATCATTTTTGTATTGTTTTTCTATCTAAAAAACTATGTAAAATGCTATGAAAATGGTTTATATTTTGTTGTAGGACCGTAGAGAAACACAGAGGGGGAAAAACTTGGTCCCCGCCGCTAACAGTTCAGTACCGTTCAAATTTCAGTGTTCTGAGCCGCGTCCGTGGGTGTGCTATGCGTATGAATGGCTGATAAAAGAGGGACTGATGAAGGACTATCCCGACTTCATCAAATACTTAATTGAACACCAGCACTTGGTATGTTTCTGCACTTGTACGCACTGCACTTGTTTTGCCGATGGTTTTGCCTTTGTATTTCGGCTCCCTGTTCATCTACAGGTGTGTAAAGTATGTCAAAATGTTCGTCTTGATTTGACTTTGATTTTGATTTTTCGACCACGGCGAACATTTTGAGATACTCCACGCATTAATAGGAAATACGATGGCTAAACTCCAGATAACCCCCGCCCCAACCGACCCCCACCTACCGTATCTCGGCTCCCTGTTTATCTACAGGTGTGTAAAGTATACCAAAATACTCGCCACAGCAAGACGAACATTTTGGTATACTTTACACACCTGTAGATGAACAGGGAGCCGAGATACAAAAGTTGGGTGCCGGCTGAAGGGGGGGGGGGGTTATCTGGAGTCTTACCAATACGATTAATTAACGTGTCTGGCACCCTGTGCCAGACACGTTAGCGGAAGGCTATGAAGGCTACGATTTCTATCCGTATTTTTTTAGTGCGACAATTGTGTGCCTATATCGGTTGTTTGTGGGGTTGGCTCGAGAATCACTCTCTCATCTGGTGGCTTTCCCCAAATCGACGACGACTGCACCGTATCCTCCCTATTTTGTGTGGGTACTTTTTCACGAATTCACGAATTTGGTTCTGGACTGTTAGCGGGGGAGGGGGGGACCAAATTTTTTTCGGCAAAGGCCTGGATTTTTTTATATGAATCGCGGATGCGTCTCTAAATTGTTTTTAACTATTCCTGAGCATAAAAACTACACACATTTTAACCCAAAAAATTTAAAAAATTAAAAATTAGGTCGAACAATCTTATAGAACCTTTAGGATTGGCGGGGGGGAAGACCCAAAATGTCCAAATTTTCGACTTTTCAAACATTTTTCTAAATTTTTCTGAAAGCTTTTCTACTTTAAATATAGTTAAAACTTACTAAAAACAATTCGAAAACACTTCAAAAAAACTTCAAAAACTTCAAAAAATTGGTTCCCCCGGGAATCCTAAAGAACCCGGCACCCTTTTTTATCCGCCGATAGCAGTTTTCGAATAACAAAGCAAAAAGCAAAAAACTTCATTAACCAGGAACCGAACCCGCGCACAAAAAAATTCAAGAGTTTGATAGGCAAGCGCACTACCAATAGGCCACGTCGGCATGGCGACCGGGGGTCCGAAAGAGCCTATAAGGCCATTCCCCCAAGGCCATTTTTTTTCTCTATCGTATGAGCTCTCGCACCTACGAAACTGGGATGTCACCCAAAAACGTCTCCTTGTAAGCCTAGGCCTCAAATAAAAGATGCCCCGCAACATCAATAGCTTTTGATAAGCCTGAGCGCATTAGACCGTGCGTATGTGGTGCAGGGGTTGGGTAGCGTGCTCTCGGAAAGTACGCACCCATACGAACTGCACCGGATCTTGGAAGATGGGAAAACCACCCCCAAAATGGGTGTAGAGGCATCCGGGTGTTAATGCTGGAGATCTCGGCATCAATTCCTGAAATCAGACCCTTCAGCTAACCCCAAAAATCGGCTTGAGTGCAGTTTACCCCCAGCCGGCACCCACCTACCGTATCGGCTCCCTGTTCATCTACAGGTGTGTAAAGTATACCAAAATCTTCGTCTTGCTCTGGCGAGTATTTTCGTATACTTGACACACCTGTAGATGAACACGGAGCCGACCGAGATACGGTAGGTGGGGCCTTACGTTTCATCAACAGGATAGGTGGCAAAACAACAAGTGGTTTCCCCCTGCTAACCCCCACTAACAGTCCAGAACCGGAAAAATACCCCCGATAATGCGAAAGCACTGACAAACGAATCTTTTGCAGGCGCCAACGACACCAGCTACCAAGAGGTGCATTCGCCCGGTGGAAGTGTCGCCAGGAGAATGGGTCCTGTTCCCCCTCAATCTGTGCACACGACAAATGCTCATCGACAACAAATGTCCAATGGCTCAAATGTGAGGCAGTTTAACCATTCCACTAAAATACATCCCCCTCGCAGCGCCCGGGCCAAACCGTACGACCCGGCAGCTCCGATACTCACCACCGACTATTATCTGCATTGCGATGCCGGCTTCACCGTGCCACAGTGGGTGGCTTTGGTACTGGGTTTTTAGCGGGGGGGATTACCTTTGCCGAAACTACTTAGATAACAATTTTCAGGTTACTAGTGCGTTAGCGGGGGGATATTTTTCGAGATTTTTTACGGTAACTTTGTCATTATCGGGGGGGGGGGACGAATTTTGGATCTGGTGCGGTAACGGGGGGATTCTGCGACAAACCTAGTGGGATCAGAATTGGAAATGGGCGCGGCCTCCAGCAACCCCCCCCACCCCGCTAATGAATTAGATCCATTTGGGTCTTATACGATAAGAATTGTTTTCCATTATCGATTATTGGGGGCGGGGGCGGATTTTGAAATTTTTAAAGGTGTTTTTCCATTCGAAATAAAGTTAGAAAATTTTACTAGCTTCGTTATTAAATACGTACTATTATATACACTGCCGGTCATAATTTTGGCTCCACCCAAATTTTTGCTATTTTCTCGCATGGTAGCGGAGCATTCTGGACGCGCCTGAAGGATAGGGTTTGTCAAAGAGGCTGTAAACTGGGTTTTGAAGGAAATCTCCGAAAAAATTTAATTTTTTCGAAAATGGAATTTTATGGGCTTCCGGGAAAATCACACACCCCCCCCCCCGGTAATGCGAAAGAACCGCTTTTTCATCAAAAGCTGGGCGTTGAATGTTTTTTCAGACCCCAAATCGCACAAAAATTTTTTTAGGAAGATAGCGGAGCTGAAGACATGTGTGCCAAGCCTGCATATTGCCGCCGGATTCTCGCAGTTAAATGCCACCGACAACATCTTTCCCCTCGAACTGGTCACCTTCTCCAAGGACGTCCCATTTTCACCGATGAATCCGCGGCGTCCCACACCCAAAGGAGAAATCCCCAGGGCCGTATGTGGATCATGGTACGGTCCTCCAATTCCTCAAAGAATCTCTGCTAGCCTGCCCCGTCCATCCCCCTCTAATTCCTCAAAGAATCTCTGCTAGCCTGCCCCCGTCCATCCCCCTCTAATTCCTCAAAGAATCTCTGCTAGCCTGCCCCCGTCCATCCCCTCCAATTCCTCAAAGAATCTCTGCTAGCCTGCCCCCGTCCATCCCCTCCAATTCCTCAAAGAATATCTGCTAGTCTGCCTTGCAAACTCCTAGCAAACTACAAACTCCACGAATTCAGGTGGCCGGACGAGGTGAGGGTCGTGATGACGTCGGAGACGCTTACGGAGAAAAGCTCTGGCTGTCAGATGATCTGTCGATACAATGGGACGGGCATGTATCCACATTGTATCCCGTATGATGTACTCGATTCCGATGGGCACATCTACACCGCATTCCGGCAGAGGGTACGGTAGCTTTGGAGGGGATACCGTAGCGTTAAAGGGGCCGGCAAGGCATTAAGTTGTGGATTTTGCCAGGCTCGGCTTCTCCCCCTCGCTAACAGACCAGTACCACCAACTCTGCTTTTCTTAAATCTGTGCCCCCCGATAACGCACCAATCCCTGAATTTTGCAGTCGCCGCCGTTCGCCAGTTTCCTGACTGAAGAGGAGAATCTGCGCATCGGATGGGCACCCGAAGCGAATGACAGCAATCTCTACAGATATCCGAAGTGCATCAAGGGGAAATTGCCGGTGGGTTTTTATAAGACTCACTCTCTCTCGCTTTCTCTGTCTCTCTCTACCTGGATCTCCCTCTCTCCCTCTGTCCCTCTCTCTCTGCTCCCGCTCTCTCTCCCTCCCTCTATCGCTCTCTGTCTCTCTTTCTCTATCTATCTCTCCCTCCCTCTCTCTCTCGCTCTATCGCTCTCTCTCTGTCTCTCGCTCACTCTCTCTCTATCGCTCTCTCGCTGTCTCTCTCTCCCTCTCTCTCACTCTCGCTCTCTCTCGCTGTCTATCTCTTCCTGAAAAACTGTTGCTAGCATGCCTGTCCACAAAAAGGACACCAAATTTTGTACTCTGTAATTTGGGAATTCAATTAAATTCGGACCAATTTCCGAATTTTTCAAACAAATTTCGAAAATCTAGCTGTCATACTCCCTTTAAAGCTGAAAATTGGCCAAATATTTGCAGAAAGAGCAAGCAGCCATCGTGGCGCAAGATCGATTCCTGAATTGCCGTACAAACCCATTCTCGCTTCGTGATCCATCGGTCTTTGTCAGCCCGAAACTACAGGGAGGAGATTCCGATCCGGAGGTACGGTACGGTGGCAGGTGTCGACCCTGTTGTTACAGACATTCACCCGTCTCCCCGATGAGGAGGGTCCATCGGCGTGGTGGGCGGTGCTCGTCATCGGAGGTGCGGTGTAGCTTGTAGTCCGTAGTTTGTAACGTTTTATTGAATTTGTAGCCTGTAGCGCGTAGTGTTGCATCGACTATGTAGTCTGTAGCCTGTAGTTCCCAAACTCTAGTTTTTGGCTTTGATTTTGTAGCCTCTCGCCTAACAGTCAGACTACAGACTACAAACTTCCTTTTTAGTTTTTAGTCATAAGCCTAAGAATGTCGTTTTATTTGGAGTTTGTGGCTTGTGGTGGGCAGTTTGGGGTCTGATTTGGAGTTCGTAGTAAGAATTCTGACTAAACTACCGCAACTGGCGCGTGTGTTTCGCGCTGTAATTTGTAGTCTGTAGCTTTGGTTTGTTAGCTGGTTTGTAGCCTGTCAAATAGACTGCAAACTACAAACTACAAAGATCGACCAATTTTCAGTGCTCCTGCTGCTGATCGCCATCTTTGCCATCATCTTCTGGCTGCTGTGGCGGAAGCGGGGCAGTGGAAAGAGCACGTGAGCTAGCAAAGACGCTTTGAGGAATTTGGGGCTTGGTAGGCATTTGGGAATCGAAAATCATTTGGGAATCATTTGGCAATCGAAAATCGATAGTCCGGCTGCCAGTTTGGCGATATAGCTATTCAAATCACCAGGCAAGCTTGCAGAGAACATTTGGGAAGCGAAAATCGATAGACCGGGAGCCAGCTTGGCGAAATCACTTTTGAAAAACGTGGGCAAGCTAGCAGTGATCATTTCGGAATCAAAAACATAGACCCTGGGAGCCAGTTTGGCGATATAGCGATAGAAAACGGCAGGCAGACTAGCAGAGAAAATTTTGGAACCGAAAATATGCAAACTGGATGCCAGCTTAACAAAATAGCTATTCAAAAGTCAGACAAGCTAGCAGAGAACATTTGAGAAGCGAAATTAGCTTTTCTGTCTGCCAGTTAGCCTATTTACACCCTCGGGCAAACTAGCGGAGACCATTTGCCCTAAAATTCGTCGATATTGCAGCCCATCGACCTCCTCGGCGTCGTCCTCCTCGCGAAAACAAGCCGACAACAACCAACCCCCCGCTAATGGAAAAGGGCACCACGGCAAACACAAAAAGACGACCAGCCGCCTGCCGATTGACGCTACGCAATGCTCCGCCATGGACGGCGAGGGCGGAAAGGGCGGAAAGACGTGGATGGGCATCAAAATTGGAGGCGGCCACGAGCCACCCACCGATCCGAATGACTATCTACCGCTCCACTGCAAGGATGACGTCAATTTGGACTCGAGTGTACGTTTTAGGATTTTTATCAATTTTTCAAAATGAAAATTGACTTTAAAAGGTACGAATTAAATTTGTAAAAATTTAATTTAGATTTAAAAATTCAATTAACTAAAAATTTAAGTGGATTTTTAAATAAATTAAATTGTAAATTTAAATGATTTAAAATCCGTTGAAATTGAAAAAATCGTTTAAAATTTTTAAAATCGAAAATTAAATGCTATAGATGTAATCTAAATTAGCGAAAATTGTATTCTGAATTTTTCAACCATAACAACTTACAGATAAATTAAAGCTTTCATCAATGTTTTAAAATGGAATTACGTTTAAAATTTTAAAATTTAAAAAATCACAATTAAATTTACAATTTTTTAGATGAGCTTTTCACAATTTTTTTTTGCTTTAAGCAACCTAGCTCCATTTCAAGCCCTTAATTTAGAGTTTGAAGCCTAAAATAACTAAAATGTCTGTAAAATTGTTAAATTTAACTATTTCGAGCTTAAACAATTTAACAAAAAAAAATGCAGCATAATATTCAGATGAAAGAGTCGGTGATCCAGAAGTAGAAGCAGAGCAACGAGAAGAAAAAGCGGAACAAGACGAAGAGATACCGTAACCCGCGGCCCGGCCCCCTCCACCCGCACGACCGATAAATCGGCAGAAAAATCGATAATCCCCCTTCCCCCGTCCCAATTCTCTGTCTGATTGATGTATTGATCCGATTTATTGATTGATTTTCTGCCCCTCTGCCCTGCCCTCATCAAATATCGATCGACTGCCCCCCGCTGCCCATCCCCCGAGTTTTAATAAAGCGCTCCAGAGATATCGGTTTTTCGGATTTTCCGAGGCAATACTATGGACGTCTGGGGGTACTGTAGCTTGTTTTAGCGTTTTACTTCAAAGGGCAGGACTAGTTATCCGATACAGAATCTCTGGAGTCCAGAGTTTGGACTACCGTAATCAACCAAAATACATTTTAGAGTATTTTTAACATTTTCTTGGCTGTTCCGAGCCATTCCTATTGACGCTGCTATTCTTGCAATACCGTACTCGACCGGAAAACAATTTTTGCGGATGCCAAGATGCAAGAATTTCGAACTGTCCATATTTCCAAGCCGTTCCTATTGACACCTCGGCGTACTGTAACCGGAAAAAAGGAGTCGAGTTCTTTCTGGTACCGTATTTAGGTTTTTTGCGTATTTTTAAACGGAAAACTATACTTCTCCGCCCACCCCGGGTGGGCCCCCCCACTAGGGGGGACAGAGGGGACTGAAAGGGGGATGGTGGGGGCCCCAGGGGACCCGGGGATTCTTCCCCCTCCCCTCCCCTCCCCCACCCCCACACCCCCACCCCCCACCACAGGGCGCCCTGCCAAACCCGGCGATTCATCCTTTAAGAAAACGCGCATGAGAGGGGAAGACGGGGCTAGCCTACGGCACGCGCCAATCGACGCGCAATTGGTTCTTAAAGCAAAGGGGTCCGTCTTCTGCGCTTTCAAGCCTCTGTAACTTTTTATACGGCAGTTTCATAATCTGGGTGGCCGCTCAAAAATAGAAGAGACTTTGCTCTACCTTTTAATAGTGGTTTTGTCAAAATCGAGCGTTGGAATCGAGACTTCTGATGGTTTGAAGTTTGAAAAATGAGGTGCATGTTATCGTCTGAGCTCAAATCCAGCTAAATCCTGGCCCAACCGCCTCAACTACATTTTCTGGAAGAGTATCTTTCATGAACTACCCAATATTGAGAAAAATTGGGCTTTTAAAAATTTACGCTGACGATTCCAATTCAATGTTTTCTGAAGTTTTCAATTAGCTATAACTTTTGTTTATGACGGTTTTCGAATCTACTAGCAGACTAGGAACTAAGAGCAGACCTTCCCTCTATCTTTTGCACCTAGTTTTAGAATAGCCCAGCGCAGAAATTTAGCGAATGGGTCCTGTAAGAGGGTGCGATAAGCTTACGATCTTTACTGGCCTATTCCGCATGGAGAGAATGTTCCGCTTGTATTCTTAATTTCTTTATTCCTAGCGAGTCTATTGGCTGCATGCCTCAGGGGTAGGGGCACGGTCATTTGGGGAGTGCCCGGGGTCCCCTGGGGCCCCCACCATCCCCCTTTCAGTCCCCCCTCTGTCCCCCCTAGGGGGGGCCCACCCGGGGTGGGCGGAGAAGTATACGGAAAACCGTTTGAACGCGAAAATTGAAGCATTTCGGATTTTCCAATTTCCGTCCATTCCTCTTTACGCCAGGGGTACTGTAGCATATTTAGAAGAGCGGATCGAGCACTTTTTGGTACGGTAGCTCTGCATTGACGTACTCCAGCGGAATCCACATTTTTAGGCGCGCCAAAATTCAAGGAATTTGGATTTTCCCGAATTCCGAGACATTCCCATGGGCACGGAGGGTGTATGGGAATTTGCACTGTATTTCAAAACTAAAGAGACTTTTATCTGGTATGGTATCTCCGTAAGACCGTATTCCATAAAGCTCATTTTAGAACCTCAAAAAGCAACTTAATGTTTTGGCTTTCCCGAGCCATTTCTGGGTTCCAGGGACCTGATCCACCGAATCCAGGGATCATCATGCTGGTGACTAGCAAGCATTATGCTCCCTCCAGGGGCCATCTGCCCATCTGAATGCAACATTGTCCGCCAGCTGGTGGCCCTAAACTCTTTTGTTTTGGGTGTCATGATGCGTAACACCCCCGACTAGGCCTTTTATTTTATAACGTTCGGACCCCTTATTGCAGAAGCAACGCCAATTGCGTACCTTGTTGCACGTAGAAAATGGGGTGGCGCCGTTTGGCGGCGATGGCGCTGGTGCTGTTAATGGCAAGATGCATCAAAGGCCAGAACTGTAAGTTATTCCTTTTTGTACCTTATGAATGCTCTCGAAAATGATTTCTGCGGACGATTCCGGTGCCTTTTCGGGCCGAAACGTCGAGCCAGCGCCGTTTTCCGGCTGGCGCGTGGTCCGGATCCATGCTGTAACCATAGTTGTAAACACCAAAAATTTTCAGTGTCGGAGAAATGCTCAAAATACATGGCTGCCTGGGGCGAGATCCACACGGGTGTTGATGCCATTGAAAGGGGCCGAAAATTTGCCGGGATGATCGACACGATTCTAAACACTGGAGAACCGATCGGAAATCTTGTTCTAAAAAGTGTGAAGACGACGCTTGAGGTTGGTCTTTTCAATTCGTTCTTTATTAGGTTTTTGCCGTTGGGATGGCCACCGGATCAAATTGCCTTTTATAGCCCGACAGCCCGGAAGTGCAGGCGGGCAAGGAGTTGGCCGTGTGGATGAAGGAGCGAAACCAAAGTTCGTTTAAAGGGGCTCGGAAAATTTGTGCATGTGGGTGATCGAACCTACTGATCAAAAAACGAAATGGTCACTGGCCAGAGCCCGGGCTCAACTATTGCGGGAATATTCCGGGATTGCCTCAGGGCATTCCCGTAATGTTCCCGCAATGTTCCGGGAAGCATTCCGGGAAAGGTGGTGCAAATTATTCCCGGAATGCCTTCTCATCTATTGCGGGAATTCCAGGCATGGATTCCCGGAACTCCATTCCGGGGACGGTTCCCGGAATGAGTTCCCGGAATATCGTCTCATGTATTCCGGGAAACTTTTCGAGTTTCACGGAATGTAGTTCCGGGAATGGTTTTATATAAGGTTTGGTTCCCCTACAAAATCTCGGGGACAGCATTCCGGGAATCGATGTTCCCATTGCTCAAATTTTCTGAAATTTTCAGGAGTTGTCTAGACACTCGTTATTTGCCGGCCCGCAAAATCTCGTAGTGAACAATCGGTTCTGAGGCCGGTTTTGGAGGTCCAAAATAGCATTAAAAATGCGATACGTGTTCCTGATCTCCGATGCATGCACACTGCGCCGTTATGCATGAAGTTGACATTAACTTTAGAAAGAATAATTTCTAATTTAGAATTTAGGATTTTAACGCCATCGTGATTCCGGGACACTCCGGGACATTCCGGGAACCATTCGGGGAAACATTCCGGGAATGCGCGTCTCATTCCTGGAATGCGTTTCATCTACATTGCGGGAAACCATTCCGGGAACTACTTTCCCGGAATGTAGATGAGGCGGCATTGCGGGAAAAAGTGGCTACTTTCCCGCAATGTTTCCCGGAATATTCCCGCAATGTTCCCGCAATGCGTTCCCGGAATGATTCCCGCAATAGTTGAGCCCGGGCTCTGAAGTACTAGAAAATTGAATTCGTTGCGAAAAACGTAAAATACTTGAGTAAAACCGAAAAGTTCTTCGGGCGAAAAAGGCTTTTTGAGTGGGCGGCGATTACATGTCGTAATGCCTTGTAAGGCACCCGTTCTCTCGATCTCGGTGATTCTCTGATCATTTTTTATAATTTAAAAGTCTAGAACGATCAAAATTCGGTGAGGATTCCAGAAATAGCTTCAGAACCTGAAATTCAAGCGTTTTCACTTCCAAACAGGGGCCAAAAGATCATGCGACGCAGTCGCGTTGCGGTCGCAACTGGCTATTGGCCAGGAATCAACCCCTTTAAATTCATCTTTTATATTCTTACCCTTTCCTAATTTTTGGTTCTAGGAATACAGTATACGTTACGCCGGTGTTGCTGCAGTTTGAGCTTCTGGGCCATTTTTCAGAAATGTTTGACCAAAAAAGCCAAAAAATCTCAAAGATAAAACGAATTGCGAGCTTTTTATAGCTATGAAAACTGTGTAAGTGGCATGCAGAAATTTCAAGACCCTGAGAGGGCGAGTTTCTGGCCTGCGATATTCTGAAAAAATCCCCTAAAAGAGAATGTAGTCATGGTAAAACGTGGAGAATTTATTTTTCAGAAATGGTAAAGATTGCGCATTCAACGGGTTTTGTGTGGGATGATCAGACGGTCTATGATTGGAATTCGGTATGAAGAGCATAGCATCTCGTTTAATACGTATCTCCCATCTTCAGGCCATCCGAAACCGATTCATCCCCGTTCAAACCATGTTCAAGTTACGGTTTTTACTTCCGGAACCGGCCGACGACGAACAAAATGTTTTAAGCGCCTGCCGGCGATGGGACTACTTCGAAAAGTTGCGGGTTAGTGTCGGAACCCTACGGTTTACTTTACCCCCCCAGCCGGAATTTCTTGGCTATAACTTTTTTATTTTACGTTATTGTACGCTCAAGTTCAAATTCGTAGTATACTTTCCGGCGCTCTATCGAATGGCGGTGCAAAAATCTCGACAAAATAGGAAAAAATACCGAATACCGGAAAACCCGTTTTAGGTTTTCCGAAATGACCGGATTTAGAAAGAGCACGTTGCATTTTTTGACAGGCTTCTTGCCTTTCGAACTTTAGAGGCCCTTCAAAATTCCATGGAATAATACCTGACGAAACTTAACTAGCGGATAGAGCTCAGAAAAGGCGCCCTTTCGAACGCCTGATTCACGAACATTTTTCTGTTTATTCCAGCAACAAAATAATTTTTCGAAATTTTTGAAAAGGATCTACATGGCCTCTAAAGTCGGAATTTGGAAAAAATGGCGCCAACGAGCAGCTGTACGTTCTTAAATATCGGCATCCCGGAAAATCTGAAACCCGATTCGGGATCAGCTCAAAATTCTACCCAGGATGGGCTTGGTCCCATTCCAAATCTCAGCCTGACTTCTTGTCTTTCCCTTGTTGCACCTGGCGTAGTTTGCAGCTTTTAGCCAGGTTTTTATCGACCATTTTTTTAAGGTCATTCGAAAATATTTCGTCGACGCCTGCCCGATGCCTACTTTAGGCAAAGTTCTACGCACCGTCAATGCCTTAAAGGCGTTCAGACGTATCGAAGTGAAATGTACGTTTGAAACTGCTCCTCATCAGCATTAGATTTTTCAAAAACTATTTAGTATTCCAAAAAACAGCTTAAAAAGAGCGTGGAAAGCTCAGAAAGTTTTAAAACGAGCTTTATCAATCGTTTGGTAAGATCATTTTCAAGTTATGTTCTTCTGTTTTCAGCACCAAAGATGGTGCCGGAACTCATGCAAGACTATCACGTCCACAAGAGTAGTAAGCCTTTATTGTCGATCGTATTACTTCTCATTTCCAGAATACATCCTCGACTTGACCAGTGATACGGAGCTGATCAATATGCTTCGTCAGGGTACGTTAATTAAGCGAAAAAATCATAGTTAAACTAAAGCGGCTAAAAAGTCGAAGTTCCGTTTTCGCGAATTGGTCCTATGGCCAAAAAAAAGAAAAGAAAACCCCAAAGTTTAGACAATGTTATTTCTTTGCTAAAAACGCGAAATATTCTAGAAAAATCGAAATTTTAAGGCGAAATTGACTTGTTGGGGCCGCTTGAATTACATGTCGTAATGCGTTGTAAGGCACCCAATCTCTCGATCTCGGTGATTCTCTGGTCAATTTTCATAATTAAAAAGTCTAGAATGTTCACAATTCGGTGAGGATTCCAGAAATAGCGTCAGAATTTTGGAATTCAAGCGTTTTCACGTGTCTGAGCCTGCCAGGTGTCTGAGCCGAGGGGCGTGGACTAGAATTCTTTGCTCCCTTATGAAGCAGCTTTTCACCGTTACCTCTTATTGTTATACTTTAATTATCAGCATTCTTTGACGATCATACTTTCCCTTTACAGAAAAACCCGAGACCATCGAGCAACTGGAGATCATCTTCTTGTGTGAGTTTTTAGGGCTGAAAATTATGCTAATTTAGATATGCCAGATCTTACGCTGCTACCGATCAGGTAATTATCAGAGACAAAGAGAGAGCGAGAGAGTGACAGAGTGACAGAGAGAGAGAGACAGGAGACAGAGAGAGATAGAGAGCGGGGGAGAGAGAAAGAGAGAGAGTGACAGAGAGAGTGACAGAGAGCAACAGAGAGAGACAGAGAGATAGAGAGCGGGAGGGAGAGAGAGAGAGAACCAATCTTAGCTGCGCCTCGGATGCGCACTACCAGCTCAACCGCGCGTCCCGTTCGACGCTTGACCATCAAATGTTGGTCTTGGAAGAAACGCTGCGAAAAGTGGTACTTTGTATACGCCCTATTAATACCTTTTTACGAGATTTTTCACCATTTTTTTAATTTCAGATGTTCTACACATCTGCTTGCCTGAACGTGGTCCACGATGGCGATCAGGATAAAATGGACTCGGATCGATCCGAGGTCGCAAGGATGATTTCCGAAATCGTGAACTACACGATAAATTGGATGGAAAAAACTGAGGTCTATTTTAAAAAATAGGAGCTTTAAAATATGGTTTTTTTAAGATAGAAAAATGAGTTTCCGCGACAACGCCAAGGTCTTGCCAAATTGAAATTAAGTAGTTCGGTTTTCATGGTAATTTTTGGCTTGAATTAATTTCTCTAACGTTGTTTAAATTTTATAGGATTCTCCAGGTTAAGGGCTACATTTTGGTATATTTTAGAGCCCTGTAGCTGCAAAGACAGCAAATACAAGGTCAAAGTTGGAGCTCTGGCGCCAAACTTCAACTTTTTACTTTCGGCCGCTGTAGAGGTTTTTTGAGGATTTTTCAGGTTACAAAACTATTTTTTCATGGCCTTTGAATCACGGCGAACATTTTGAGATACTTGGCGCATTAATAAAAGCTCTGGCTGCCTAGATAGACGGCTTTTTAGGAGCTCTCCTGGCCGCTGCTGCAGATGGAATACGCGTACGAAGCGCTTGATCAGGAGAAGCCTACCTCCACTGAAATCGCGGCCGCTGCCGTGCAAAAGATCTTTCAAAGCCGCGGAGCTAAGCGGTAGGATTTACAAAAAAATAGAATCGCAGTTTTTAACTAACACCGAGAAATAATTTTCTAGAAAAAATGCGTTTGCTTTTTCAGCTTCTCGTACCAAGTTTTTGCACATCCGTCAAGTTGGGAACGCGACAGTGTCTACCACGTCTTCAACACCACCGTATACAATTATCTGGAAATCCCGGAAATGGCCGGATACACGATTCACGTCTTTCGCGCGGAACCCGGTGTGGAGGGTTTCTGTCAACGGGTCGACAACGCGACGCGGCTTCTTAAGGAGAAAGGAGCGGAGCTAGACGTAATGTTTAGGTGAGAAAAACGGAGAAACGTGTCTGAATAAGCGAAAAGTTGCGCGGGTCCAAAACCGAGTGTTTCGTAATGATCTAATTATTTACTCTCTGTTTTCTCAATCAGTCTTACAAGCGCACGTCGCGAAGCGAAAGTTCCATCGGCTATTGATCCACCTGACCTCTAAACCAGTTTTTTCCGCTGATTCCGAATCTGTAGAAAATCTTTGCCACCGACGCATAGTTTTTTAGATAAACGGTGTTTTCTGTAGTGGTTTGGGCTTCGGCTTTGGTTTGTGAAAGCGGCTCCGAAATGTGGTCCACGCGCCTCAGTGTTGAAGAGAACTGTATTCCTAGAACTAAAAATTAGGAAACGGTGAGAATATAAAAGATCAATTTAAAGGGGTTGATTCCTGGCCAATAGCCAGTTGCGACCGCAACGCGATCGCGCCGCATGAACTTTTGTCCCTGTTTCGACGTGAATGCGCTTGCATTTTCAAATTCTGACGCTATTTCTGGAATCCTCATCGAATTTTGATCATTCTAGACTTTTTTAATAGCAAAATTGGCCGGAGAATCACCGCGATCGAGAGATCGGGTGCCTTACAAGGCCTTACGACATGTAATCGTCGCCCATTCAAAAAGTCGTTTTCGCCCCCAAGAACTTTTCGGTTTTTCTCAAATATTTTACGTTTTTCGCAACGAAATCAATTTGCTGGTACTTCTCGGCAGCGGCCTATTCGTTTTGATCAGTAGGTTCAATCCCCGCAAGCGCGAATTTGGCCTCCGAGCCCCTTTAATGAAAAACCAGAAGTGCTTAGGCAGTCAAAAAATTCTATACAGGTCGCGCTGTTTCCGTTACGGCCGGGAACGTCGTTGGCGACCTTGGCTGTTTTTAGCTCGGTCCGTAACAGTCTGGTTGATAGCTCTAAATTCGAAATTTCAGGCAATCAGAAGACTCGGCAAAAGCTCGAGGTGTCGTCGACCGTTGGGTCCACCCTCTCGATCTGATGGGTGATGGGGGCTACACTGCCGGATTGTTCGTGCGTAACGAGAATATATTTTGTGATGGAGCTTCTGTATCTATGGGCCAAAACTTCACATCAACTCCATGTACCTCAAATAATTCCCTCGTGTCCCAGAGCGAATTCCTTGAACGTCGCTACCTCAATTGTTTTTACCGTCAACTGTCTCTGCTGGTTTTATAAAGGGGCAGAAACTATGCTCAAAAAACTATATTTTAATGCTTTGTTTAATGAATTTTTTCTCGTCGAAATAAAGCCTTTTGAAATGAATTAAAAATCTAATTACCAGAAAATTACGAAAAACTTTTGAAAATCGAAGTTTTTCGCACATTTCTGACCAAAAAGTCTGAAATTTTCGAAAATTTATAGAATTTTTATACTCTTATACTTTTTATATTTCTAAAAATTGTGTAAAATACTATAAAAATGGTTTATCTTTCGTTATGAGGCCGTATGGAATCATCGTGAAAAATTTGTTCCCCCCCCCCGCTAACAGTCCAGAACCAAAATAATCAGCTTTTCTTTCGGAACTCGACCAACTGTCCTGTAATAAAGGTATTGAAATCATTTTACACGAAAAATCCGGCAGAAATCAAGATTGAGGTCGTCCATTTACATGGCGTAATCGATTTATCCCAGGAATTTTGGGGGCCCGGTTTTTAGTGCCGAAACGGCAAAATCGTACTTGTCATTTTTGTTTTTCTGTAGGAACTCGACTAACTGTCCTGCAATAAATGTATTGAAATCATTTTTACAGAAAAATCGCTGCAAATTCAAGGTTTTCCATTTTTATGCCGTAATCGATTGCGCTGGTCCGAATTTCCCCTAATTTCGCGGGTTCTCAAGAATCTTTAGTTGCAGCCGGCCAGCCAGCCAGCTGGCCGATTGCCCAAATGTTTTTCACACACAAAGCCGTGGAAGAGAAAGTATGGGAAAGCGAGGGAGGGCAGAGAAACAGAGCGAAAACGGGAAGGCAATATGGGCACACAACAAACAGATCCCCTCCCCCTGTCCCATCCCCCCGACCATCGCCCTGCTGACTGGGGCATTACGTTGCGTAACACGGGCGTTAACGAGGTTTTTTGTGTATTTTTAGCTTTGTAATTAATTTTAATTTTTGGAAAATGGATTTATCTATTTTTTTACTGGTTTCTAAGCCAATAAATGATTTTCCGCCAGTTTAAAAAGTAAAATTCGGCCGTTTTTTTGCTAATTTTTGAAGCTGGAGGCCAATTTTGTGGCTTTAATGGTGTTGACAAGGCCAAATCTGCTAGTTTTCACCTCTGAAACTGCTAAAAATTCTGAAAAAAAAGTGTTTTTTTTTAGATTTTTGGGCGTCCAGAGCAATTTCCTGACTGGCATTACATTGCGTAACACGGGCTTTAACGTGGTTTTTTAAAAGTTTTTAGCTATTCGGATAATATTTAAGGTTTAGAAAATTGATCTATCGCATTTTTTTTATTTTCACAGCGAATTCAGCGATTTTAACGAGTTAAATTCGGCCGTTTTTTGCTTTCAAAAATTTCTTAACCACCAAATTTTTTAGATATCTTTATATTTTAAAATCAATATATAAATTTTCTAAATTTTCGAAAACCCGACGCCAATTTGTCGATTTAAAGGCGTTGAGAAGTTTAAAATTGGCTAAACGCAAGTAACCTAGAAATTGGGACCATTTTTCGATTTTTAACTTTCAAAGCAGCTTTTTTTTGCGTGTTTCACAAGTTTAATGCAGTCCATTTTTTGATGATTTAACTGATTTGAAATTTTTGATGATTTAGTTGATGTTTTAAAAGCGTTGGCAAGTCAGAAAGGTCCAAAAATCTTCGGAAATTTGTAAAAAGTAACAATTTTTGTTTTCCTGCAATCGTTTCTCTTCTGTTTTCTCAAATTTCGCGGTCATTTTTAACTTAATCGTGTTTTTTGAGCTCGACTCCCGTTCCATTCGGCTCCTATCGACACACCGCGGCGTAGAGAGGACTATCGCGTTCGGCGTAAATTAATGCTAATCTCTGGATTGGTTCCCTCTTCTTTTCCACAGCTTATCAGTCGCTCGCGAGAATGCCATCCAATCCCCGACCCCCACTGCCCTCCATTCCATCTGGTGAGTTCCGAATTTTTCGAGGAATTTTTGCGAAATTGGTTTTTTTTGCTGAATTTTCTTACATCAAATGGTTCTGCTAGCTTGCCTGGATAAATCGATTTTTGTCAATTTTAGTTGAAGTTTTGTTAAATGGTCTCTGCTGGTTTGCGACAATTTGACGGGCTGATCTGGCCATATTCTCAAATTTATTCTTCTAGTTTGGCCAGCGAACCTACCCTCAAATTGCTTCTGCTGGCTTGCCAAGTGGTTTTAGGCCATTTCTCTAATGGTTTCTGCTAGATGACTGCCTTAATTAGTTTCTATGGGTCTGATTCCCAAATGATCTCTGCTAGCTTGCCAAAATTTTAAATTTTCCTGTCGTGCGCGTTCAGAAAATCTTGCTCAAGAGTTTCTGCTAGATTTCCATCAGCTTAAATTCTCTCTGCTAGCCTGCCTGGCTATCAGATTATCCATTTTTCCAGTCTCCCGCAAAGTGCCCACTTCCGGATTTCGGCAATAATCCCTTTTGCATCCGTTTTTCCATTCCGTCACTTTTCTTCGGTTCGAGTGATCGGAAAGGGGGTTAAAAAAGTGTGGAGTGTGAATGAGTGTGGATGGATGTTTTGTCTGGCCGTTTTTCCCTCTTTCTCTGTCTATCGTTTTATTTTGAACACAACCCTAGTCTTCCCATTTTTCACGCCGAGTCCGTTCTGAGGTGTCGTGTGGAATTTTCTGCGGCTTGTTTTGCATTCATATACCATACTTTTCATTTTCTAAAAATTTTTTAAGAGTTTGAAATTCACTTCCTACTTAGAATCGACTTTTTTATCTATCTAAAAGCTATCTTCGACTTTTGCGCGACATTTTAGTCATAATGGACCTATCTCAAAATCGTACATAATGAAAATGAATTAATTCTCTCAAATATCAATTTTGAAACCATGCTAAATTTTTTGCAGACTCGAAAATAATGTGGCCGCTGATCAGCGCCGACCTCGACGAATTTCACCCGGCCCCCAAGACGAATCGATTCGGGAAGAAGCTGCTGAAAGTCGCGTTGACTGGGGGACCATGCGCAGGTTCGTTACAGTCCCTTAAATTGTATTTAATGGCGTAATCGGTTCCGAAAAAATCAGATTTATTGTTATTTGGTAATTTCGCTTCCAGTTAACACTTTTCAAACTCTAAAAACACAAAAATCCAATAAATTTTTTAACGATTTTCCCGTAAATTTCGTGGCGTCATCGATTGCAGGTAAATCGACGGCTATGGAAGAGCTCTGCGAGCGCATCGATGAAGAATTCGGCAACGAGTGGCAGGTGGGAGAATTATTCTCAAAGCCTGCCCCCGTCCATCCCCTCCAATTCCTCAAAGAATCTCTGCTAGCCTGCCCCCCTCCATCCCCTTCAATTCCTCAAAGAATCTCTGCTAGCCTGCCCCCGTCCATCCCCTCCAATTCCTCAAAGAATCTCTGCTAGTTGGCCCAGATCCTCATTTTTTCAGGTTTTCAAAGCAGCAGAAGCCTCGAGCCTGCTGTATTCGGGCGGAGTGGCGCGTAGCCAACTGAATGAGTAGGTTTTGCAACAAAATTCCGCTAGCTTCCATGTTACACCCAAAACCAGCTACCGTAATCCTATTTCAGCATCCAACTGGAGCAATGGCAACTCGATATGCTGTCCATGATCATTCGAATTGAAGCCGTTTTCGAGAAAATTGCGGAGAATGAGGCAATCGTTTTTATTTTCCTTGGTAGTTGGGCGTAATCGATTACGCCATGGAAGAGCCAGCGTGTTTCGTATCGCCGTCGTAGTAAGATATATCGAAAAAGAGCCACTGCTTACGCGATAAAACTGACCGGTTACGCCATAAAATGCCTCATTTAAGCCGACCAAGCACACTCTGATCCTGTGTGATCGCGGAGCCCTGGATCCAAAAGTTTTCACCCCGGAGCCGATGTGGACAAATATACTCAAGTAAGTAACGAAAATGCAAAAAGCAAAATGTCTGCCGCCGGCAGGAGTCGAACCCTCGACCATTTTCTTGATGAATTTCAGGTTAAAACCCTTGAAACAAATTTTCACCATGGCTAAAGCTATTTTACATGACCGAAAACTTAAACACCCGTCCAAAACTCTAAACGCAAAAACTTGTCGCGGGCAGGGGTCGTACCCTCGACCCTCTTCTTGAGGTTTTTTTATCATTAAAACTCTTTAAAACAGATTTTAGCCGAATTCTAGGCTAATTTGCATACAAAAAAACTCGAAAATCTGGTGAAAACTGAAAACGCAAAACGTCTGCCGCGGGCCGGGGTCGAACTCTCGACCCCCTGGAACCCATAAAAATCAAACATTTTTAGAAAACTGCAAACCGACGAAGAAACGCTGTATTCTCGCTACGATCAGGTCATTCAGCTTCAGACCGCACCGAGGTAAGCTTTGGCATTTAAAGGGTTTGGAAAGGAACCCACCGTCGAAAATCACATAGGCATGCCTTACCCGTTCCCTTAACCGGCTACCTAGCAAAGACAATTTGCGGAAAATTCTAGAGCTTTCTAGGTGCAACTATACGAACAAGAACAAATTCCGGCGAGAAGACTATGAGCACGCAGCGAAGATCAACAAGGAATTCACCAGGGTGGGTTCCGGGGTCTTTTCATAGCGTAATCGGTTGTCCATTGATATATTTGACTAGCTCAGTCGAATAAACCCAACGAAAATAACTAGTTTAAAGACCCACTAAAGGTATTTAATGGTGTAACCGATTATTCTGAGCATTTGATGGCGTAATCGATTAGTTTTGGGAGATTTTCGTAGCGTAAGCGATTGCCTTCGTTTTCAGGTATGGCGCGATCATCCGAATTTTGTGAATATTCTGGACAATAGGGATGATTCGTGGGAGGAAAAGCTGGCCGAAACATGGGTTACGGTATGATATTTTTTGCGTATTTTTCGTTTCCTAAAGAACCTCTGCTATCCTGCCCCAGATCTGCTAATTTCTAGTCCCTTTAAAATTTGAATATTTAGTTGAAATCGACCCTGGAAAAGACGTCGGCCGAATGAAAAAATTCGTTGAAACAACAAAGAAAGTGACCGGTATTTTTATGTGTAGTGTCGGGTTGTGATTGGTGATTTTTGGAGTGGTTTGTACTAATTTTTGTATAATTTATTTCGCTCAAAATTTTTGAAAATCGATAAGTGATAACTCGTCAGGGATAAATATATTTTTCGAAAGAGAGCGAGAGTGAGAGAGTGAGAGCCCGAGAGAGCGAGAGAGACACGCAGAGAGACAAAGAGCGAGCTAGAGAGACCTAGAGAGAGAGAGACAAAGAGAGAGAAAGAGAGAAACAAAGAGAGAGCAGAGAAAGAGAGAGAGAGAGAGAGAGAGAGAGAGAGAGAGAGAGACAGACGGAAAGAGAGAAAAAGATAGAGACAACGATGGAGCGAAAGAGAGACAAAGAGAGACAAAGAGAGAAACAAAGAGAGAGCGAGAGAGAGAGAGAGAGGGGGGGAGAGAGAGGGAGCGAGAGAAAGTGAGAGAGATAACGTAATTCAGTAACGACTACTGATAAACTCCTTGAGCCGGTGTCCAGGAAACTCATTTCGCCCCAATAGCTGCTCAGGCTGGGCGAAGAGGAGCATCGGGGGCAATCGAAAATATTTGACGATCTTCAGGATCAATACGTTACCATCGTGGCGTCGTATGCAATAATACCTTGTCCCCTCATTGTCCATCACAAATTCCGGGTATGCCTCGAGGAAGTCCTGATCAAATAGGTCCTCTATATAATTCGGGCGTGCAGCATCGTCGATCCTGATCAGCCGGATTTCCCGTTTCCCCTCCAGCCATTCCTCGACCACCAGTCGTGCATAGCTCACATACCCCGGGTCGGAATTCTCGTATCTGCGCAGCTGCATCTCGGGCACTCTCAGGTGAATGTACCCCGGAAGTGGCGCCACAATCTCCGCACGCTCGATCTTGGCCACGTTTTCGCTCAGCCATTCCAGTAGTTCCTCGGTTGGCGGTAGGGCCTCCATCATAATCGTCGCATATTTTCCGGTTGGCTTATGGCGCTTGAGAATGGCCTGCAGAAAGCTGAAGTCTAACACCGGATCCAATTCCAAATTCTCACAGCAAACCTCGACCCCGTCGCGGAAAGGCCGGCGTAGCCGCATATGGCTGACCGTGGCGTGGTCAAAAAGTAGCCGCATCATTTGGCTGTTGGTGACGGTGAACTCGGCGATGCCAAGCTCGCGCACAGACCATCGCTCAGATTGGGGGTCTTCGGAAATCAGGACGTCCCACCGTTTGTGCCGACAATCGGCCGCCATTTCCATCATGTTCTTGCTGGTGAGGGCGAACTTGGCGAAAGATCGAATGTCCATATTGCGCATGATGTGGTACTGGATCGCCGTCGGGAAAGCGCTGAATTTGTCCATGACCTGAAACGCAAATATGGGAGGTACTCAACTGTTAGCGGGGGGGGAGGGGAGTAGCAAGGGTGAATTATTTTGCTCACCGTTGCGATCGTTTCATTTATAGTGTTTTTAGTGATTTTTTATTTGATTTTTGCTAGGAAGTTACGAAAATAACTCAAAGATTTTTGAAAATTCGAAAGTTTGGGCCTATTTTTTGTCATTTTTCATTCCCCCCCTGCTAACAGTCTAGTACCATATGGGATTTGGCAAAATTGAGGTAAAACCCCATGAAATGGACAACAGCCCACAATGGTCTCGAAATTCAATCGGAGGATTTGCTATTTCCACGAAATAGTCGAAAAGATATGCGGAGAGGGAGAGAGAGAGAGAGAGAGAGAGAGAGAGAGAGAGAGCAAGCGAGAGACAAATCTCGGTAAAAAATAGCGTATCCGATCCGCCAGGTCCCAACGTTGTTTCAATTTTGCCGATTGTGCGCCGAATCGATCGAAGTAGTCTTCGGTTATCCATCTCTCGCTGATCAAATATGTAAGCATCTGCGTGCCCCGCGGCTAAATCACTCGTGTCAATGTCGCAAAATAAAACGCGCTCTTTCAAAATGGATTTAATAGGGTCAAAACAAATTTCCAAAAAATTTCAAAATTTCTCTCTCTCTCTCTCTTTCTCTTAAAGATGGATTTAGTAGGGTCAAAACAAATTTCCGTAAAATTTATTCAACACCAGTCACCAAAAAACGATGAAAAAAGGGCGCGAATTCGCGAAGGGCCGTCTCGAGATCCATGAATCGCTGCATGATTGTATGCTGCACCCCGTCTGTCACATAGCATTCCTTACAATCCGAAAATTCGACGATCAATATCCGGCCATCGGTGCGTGGGACGTGGTATAGCCATGTCCGCTTCTTGAACATTGATGGGTACTGTACCATATACTCGGGAATGAAAGGCACCGCTCGTGGCATGCGGAATGCGTAGGTTTCGCATAGAACGTTAAAGACCGTCAGAACGATGAAATATCGTTTAGAGCAAGAAAGTTGCGCACCGGGCGGGGATCGAACCCGCGATGGTTCACTCCACAGTCCGACGCGCTAGCCACTATACCACAGGGCCAAGCGGGGCAGCGAGTCAGAGGCGCCCCAAACCCCAGTGGGTCTTTGCCCAATACGGGACACCACTAATGACGACGCTCTCTGCGCGTTCTTGGGGGCAGCACCCTCGGGGTGACAGTGCGCGTTCCATCGTTCTGGTAGTCTTTAACAGTTCGATCTCACGCTCCATCCGCAGCCACGACTCGACGACGGCTTGTGGATAGTTGACACTCCCCATCCCTGTAAAATCGGTATAAAGCAAATTCATTCGGGGTCCCTTGAGCGTAATATAGTCCATTGTTGGCTTAGACAGATCCACCTCCAAAAACTCGGCGTTTTCGCACAGCCATTCGGGCAGGTTGCTGCCGTTAACTTCCGGGCCATTAAGCCGAACACGCACGTATTTTCCCGGGGGCTGGTGGCGCTTCAGGATGGGAAGCGGCGACAAATCGGCCCACACCTCCATGGTAAGAAAGCGCACGTCGATACCCTTGGGAATAGGTTGGAAAATGACGCCCCGGTCCACCACGGAATCGTGGAACAGCAGCTTGAAGATCTTTGGGTTGGGGATGTCACCCAAAGCGTTCGAAGGTACGCCGTAGCCGTCGACGTAGAGCGTTTCATTCCAAAATTTGTCACGGCACGTGCTCGCCACTTCCATGATTGCCTTGCTGGTGATGGCGGTCTTCAGAAAGTCCTTCATTTGCATGTGTCGAAGGATTTCGTGTTGTAATTCGATTGGTAGGCGGCAGAAGTGCTTCATCTGAATAATTCGGCTAGAATTCGTGACACAAGGTTGTAGCGGCAATGAACAGTGGAAAAGGGCAAAGCGGGATCGCGCAAAACATGATAGAACTCTCGGTACAAATATCAGGTTCGAAGGTCGGTCCTGTCGCCGAGATTTGTATGGATGGAAAAAATCGTGGATAGCTCCATTCTGGACAAGCGATATGGCATTTTGTAGTTCAACGCCTGAACCGTTTCGGAAGGAGGGTCCTGGACCTTAGAAACCCACGGCGGCCGAGATACAGGCCCTAGAAGTTTTTGGGAAAATTACGCAAAAGTGTTTTTGCAAGTGATCTTTGCATAAAGTCATTTGCATGCGATACCCTTAACACCAATCGATAGCTCTTGAGGAGTAGAAACTAGAGTTGTTACGAATCAAGTAATATAATGACCAAGTAAATTTACTTGAACAACTTTACTTGCATCTGAAATTTTCAAGTAACTATAAAATTATTTTACGCCGTGTGCTTGAATAAGCATCAAGCAAAATAAAATTACTTGATTTACTTGATCTTGATTGATTTGGGAGAATTACTTGATTTTCAGCGAAATTACTTGATTTTGTGCAAATTCGCAATGCAAATCAGGCAATCGTGCTGCGAACCCAGTAAATTAGCATGCGATCATGTCATAAAGTTCCTTACCATCCGAAAACTGCCAGAATTCCAGAAAGCTATTGTTTGATCAAGTAAATCAAGTAAATCAAGTAATCTTACTTGGCTCTTTCTCGAGCGGAGTCAAATAATATTATTTTACTTGGTCATGCGCTCAGCCGCATCCAAATGAAATAATATTGTGCCATTGTATGCAAATAACCTTGATTGTTAATTGATTCTTAACATCTCTAGTAGATACCGATAGATGTTGAGATCGTCATAATTGGACACAAGATGGCCGAGATATGGCCCATTGCAATTTGGCCCATTTCTTCGAACTTTTCCCGAAATCCCATACATTCCGATACATTTGACAGCCAGGGGCCGAAAGTTGCCGCTTTATTTTCGGACGCGTCGAACGGATTTTGACCAAATGTATGGGAAATCGGGAAAAGTTCTAAGAACTGGGCTAAATTTCATGGGGCCTTCTTGTGCCCAACTTTGATGATCTCAACATCCACCGAAATCTACTCCTCGAGAGCTATCGATTGGCGTCAAGGTATCGCATGCAAATGATTCTATGCAAATATCACTTGCAAAAACACTTTTGCGTAATTTTCCCAAAAACTTCTAGGGCCTGTGCCCCGGTTCTCCTTGATTTTGGCGGTCTAGGACCCTCCTCCCGAAATGGTTCAGGCCGAGAGCTAGAAAAAAAAAACATATTGCATGTCTAGAATGGAGCTATCTACTTTTTTAGCCAGCTTTCCAAAATCTCGGTGACAGGACTTACCTTCCAACCTGATAGCATAACGGGTGGGGGAACAGTTGTCGGCATTTTGAATTCGATATTTCGGGAATGCCATTCGATGGTGGGCCTAAAAACATACGAATAGCTTTTTTATGGCCCGGAAAACCATATCCCGACGATTTTTATTATAGAAAAACTTTGGCAACTTTCGTGATTTTTTCGAGATTTTTGCAACGCCCTTCCATAGGGCATCAAAAATACGCTACGAGTTGTTGCTTCAGCTCAATGTATTGTAATCGAGAAAAGTTATGGCAAAAACGAAGAGATCTTTTGAAAATCGGACCCGGCTGTGGGTTTTCGACATTACGACGTCTTTTTTTTCGATATTTTTCGACGATTCGATAGA